TTTAACTTTTTTGTTTCGGACTTGGGCTGTTGTTGGACACGGGCTATCACCAATTAGAACCGGCCTGTACTTTAATTTTACAGGAAATTACACCCGTCCACATGTTTTAAGATTCAATTTCAAAAATCATATCCAAAATTTGTTTATTCAAAAATCAGATCATAATTAAAATTTTTAATATTAATAATTATATTACAAAATCAAATTAATATGCATATCAAACCACCCAACCAAAACCCTAATTATTTACCTAATTCATTTTATTTACTCTCTCTCTCTCTCTCTACCCCCACCTTATCGTCACTCACTCTCTCTCTCTCACTTCTTCTCTCTCTTCCACTTCGACGAGATGGCACTCCAGCATTGAGGCACGGCATCAGAGGCTCAGCAGTCGCTCTCTCGCAACAGCAACGAGGTACTTCTGCTCATTGATGGGGGTAGCTCTGCGTAGCGCACCACTACGTTGCGACGACGCGTCAACGCCACGATCTGATGTGGGACGGTGGTGGTTATTTTTGTGCTGTGATCAGGATTGGCTGCATGTCATGGTTGGGATTTGCACCGCTGCGATCTGGTGTAGGATTTTTAGATTGTGCTTTCAGTTGGTGGAGGGGGCTGCGGTGGTGGTGGTGTTTCGATAGCGGTGATTATGTTGGATCTGGTAGCGGCAGTGGCTTTGTTGGTGGCGACGACTGTGGATCTTGTTGTTGGCGGTGGTGATTTTGAAGTTGAAAGTGGTAGTTTGTTATATTCAAACAAGTGGGGCCAATTATCTCACAATTGGGTCAAAAATGGAAGCTACAACGTTTCAAATTTTCATTAAAAGTAGAAACAGACAAGACCTCAATCTCTTGTGTGGAGACCAATAACGACTATAATTTTCATTTTCATTCTACAATAATGAGAATCAAACGGCCCTTAAAATTTTTTTCATATGATGTTCTAAAAGATCTCTAATTTGATACTTTTTGGCCATGTTCTAAAATGCGCCACCTAGGTGTGAAGCGCGGAGAAAACTCGTCGAATTCGAGATATGCGCGGAAAAATGTGTTTTGTTCTAAAAGGCAGCAAGCGCGTCTAATCCCGCCTAGGCGGTGCATTATTCTGCCTATTTTTTTTTTGTAAAAAATCTATTATTTTATATAAAAATATATTTAATGCCTTAAAATACGAAACGTATTATGGCGCTTATTTTTCGTATTGACACGCCTAAATAGTGCCTTAAAAATACAAAACGCATTATGACGCGTAGTGTTCGTATTGACACGCCTAAACTTGTGATTCTTGATTCTCGACTACGACGTTTTAGAACATTTCTTTTTGGTACGTTGTCCATTTTTGAAATTAACCCCCAAATCGAATCGATATTCCCGCTTCTATACCCTAATAAAACCCTTCGGCGGAGCTAACTGTTGCCACCCTTTAGCAAGAGCCACAACCACCAACTCAGAAAAACATCTACCCCAGACTGGAGGCTGTTGAAACACATTGAAGAAATGCTTCCTAGCAAAAATTTTGAACCTTTTATCTATATATAAGCTCGAAAGACCTCAAAAAGGAGAAAAAACAAAAAAATGGCGTACTGAAGGGGTAACTTGAAGTCGACCTCCATAAACGGAGTGAAATTTTATACAGTATCCGGGAGTCACCGCTCCGCCACCTGGCTCCCTCCCAAGAAGCGAAGAGCTCTCCGTAAAAATCCAGGTACAATGGATAGATAAATGTATAAAGAAATCGCCTTTTCTTTTGTGATTTATTCTTTCTTGGTAATTTTAAATACAGACTTTTTCGTATCAAAATTGAAAAATTATCGATCACGGTGGAGGTGGCTTGATGCTTTCAATGGTTATTTGAAAACATGTTGGCTACTTTTAATAAGTTTTGGGATAAAAGTTCGTTTTTGACTTTTTAATTTATAGGATGTTCAGTTTCATTTTGGGTCTACTAGATTATCAGCGAAGAGTGGATTTGATACAGGATTTGAGGTTTGAAACTGCGACTACTAGAATTAAGGTGACCCCCGATGGCGAGTATCTAATAGCTTCAGGTGAATTCTAAATTTTGTTTCATAACATTCTCTTTGTCACTTCTATCTTATATATTTTTTTTATGTGTGCACCTATATGAAATAAGGTTTCTTCTTTAACTTTAGGTATTTACCCACCCCAAATAAAAGTGTATGAATTGAAGGAACTATCTTTGAAGTTTGAAAGACATTTCGTATTTGAAATCATTAATTTCCAGGTACTATTTTCTTAAAGTTTCTAGAATTGGAATTTGATTGAATGAATATGTTTGCTATATTTACCTCTAAAGTCTTTTCTGCAATTGGTTAGTTACAGTCAAGTAGTCTTTTGTCAAAGTTGAAAAAGACCTGAAGCAAAGATTCACCAATTTATCTCTTAATTACCAGTGAAGAAAGGCACTGGCTTCATTTTGTCAAGAAAGTGAAAAGGAAGAAAGATGCACGCGCATCAATAGACCTGACAATTATATTTTATCACGATATTGTTAACAATTGAACGTTTGAAGTTTTGGTTTCTTTTTCATAATGTTGTGAATGTGTGCATGTATCTCTCAATATACATTTTTTTCGTTATTCAAAATTTCTATTGATTCCTATTCATGCATGGTCATATTGCTTCGTGAAGTATTGAGACATAGATTTTTGTGGAAACTTAATAAATATAAATTTTACTCCTGTTTAGTGGCGGATCTAGGATTTTGAATGAGCAAGAGCAGCCGTTGACTGTCGGGCGAAATAACATATTAAAAATTAAATATAACAGATATTTTGTTAAAACTAAACATATAGAATTCTGTTATATATATCAACAATATTCACCAAATGACATAGTGGCCAAGTTTTGTATAATTCAAAGGAAGAGCACATGTTCTGATCTTTCCAATTGCATTAAAACCGCTAGAAGTGAACATATATTATTTTGTAACGTTTAGTGTCAAAATTCAACGAATGCCATGATGGTCAAGTTTTCAATAATCTTAAAGAGGGCTCACATGTTCGAATCCTCTCCTTATTGCATTTGTTTTGATAGAAATTGTAGAACTAGAAAAATTACATAATAAATTGGTTTGGAAGAGATTCAATTTCAAGACTTCCAATTTGGATGTGAAGATTTTAACCAACTGAGTTATAAGAAATGTTTAAAAATACAATGAATTATCAAATATATAACATAAAAATTTTATTTATTCTCAACAAAAAAAAAAAATTTGTTCCAATAGATCCAGCACGCGCCGTCGCCGGTGCTTGTCTGGGTGTTGGATCCACCATTGCTCTTGTTCACATGATATATGTTTTATGGTTCTTCTTATACATAGGTATTTCTTTTTGACTTAGTAGGTATTGGATGATGACTATTCTGAGATTGCATTTTTTTGCAGCTCTGTTTGTCTCCATGCTAAATATGGAAGTCACTATAGTTTGTGAATCCCAAGGTTCTTTCTCTTGCTTTTGACAAATATAATATGCATTATATATGTAATTTATTGGTTCCTAACTCCCAAGGTCTTTTGTTCTTGGTTTCTATATATTATCTCTATAACTCCTAGATTTTGAGGATTTGTCATTTTCTTTTATCTGTGTCTTATCTCATTATGTCACATTGAACCAATTGGTTGATGAAATTTTGATTAGCTATCTAAGGCAGTGCTTTGGTAGGTGCTAAAGAGAGAATGGATTCTATATTAGTTGCTATTAAATTTATTGAAAAGTAAGACTTAGAAATTGACAATCCAAAATATTTCAACTGCATTTTGAACTTTAGTGTGCTCCTATTTAGTTGAAGAACACAGTTAAGATTGATTAGAAGATCTTGAATAACAGAATATAGTTAAGATTTGCTTATTATGATGCTGTTTTTGCTGCTGGTGGCCAAAACATATTTTGTATATTGAAGTATGAGCAAGACTTCTACCAAGTTTTGTATCATAGAATAGCTATGTTAAACTTACAATTAGATTTCTGTCAAGATGCGTCTCGTGGCTAGAGTACATGGTCATAGTTTGACCGCACTTCTTGTAAAGTAAGCTAAAATAGTTTCGGATTACGAATTTCCATCTTCTGTCAGATTAACTTGTATATTTGCTTTCCTGCCCGCTTTTACCTTTTCTTATTGTGTCATCTGTTTCACTATGGCCTTTTTATTACTGATTATACAGGACGTGATGAGACATTCCGTATGATTGCTGGTCTTTTGACATAATTTGTGCTGCTTCTTCTCCAGATCTGTACAGGATAAATTTAGAGTGGTTTGTCTTGCAGATATTTTTAACTTGTTGTTTAAGAAAAAATATTTCCGTTCTTTCATTTGGATATCCGAGTTTGAGAATTGTGGTTGATAAGATCATATACCCCAATGCCTTTACTTGAAGAAAGGGGACCCCCAGCCTCTCATCACACAAACACGATCATATACCCCAATGACTTGAAGAAAGGGGAGCCCCAGCCTCTCACCACACAAAAACACACACACACACAAAAAAAAAAAATAAAAAAAAGAAGGAAGGTGCCCACAGACTTACTTCCAAAACAACTTTTGTTGCAATTTCATTTGTTCTTGAGCTACCTTTATCCCATTCTCCCACCCGCCAGGGGGAAAAAGAAAAAGGAAACAAAAAAGCACACACTGACTGACCACTACCAACAAATTGAGCCTTATTCCCAAAAGAACCTTTCTTGATTTTCATTCAATCTAGAGCTATCACTTATGAAAGGCAGATGAAATCAAACTTTTGCAACTACCTTGGGGATATTCATTCTGATTGATCTCTTCCTTTTTCATGTACTCCGTGTTATTGCCACTTTCTCCAAAGCAAAAAGAGGAGGGGGTTGGCCAATTTTCGGTGTCTATTTCTAGGATGGTTAGAAGTTGAAATTTCGTTTTTTGACCTTTAAGAGGATAGGAAAAGGCAATGCTAATAACAACTAGGAGAAGAGAATGTTAAGATTAGGTTAATATAGTGAACTGAGAACTGAGTAGATTATTGAGCTCAATATGTTATGAAGGCCCAAACTATTAAAACGTGGACATGGAGAGTTCTAAGAAAGAAGAGTTTTTATTAATTGGTTATTATAATGAATATCTTTCGGATTTGTGTGTGCAATGATGCTTGCAGATTTTATTTAGCTGCATTTCTTTCATGGATGGAGTGGTCGTTCTTTTCCCCTAGGTTTTGCCCTTTATTTGGGTTGAGCCACATTTGGTGCTGATGAATAAACTTGACCTAATAAAAGAAGATAAGAGTTTGGACAGTAATAATAAAAGTTACTACGTTCTATTTATGGTCTTCTATTCGGAATAAAGATCTACTTTTGGTTGATACACTCTTCTATACCGTGCTATTCTTTTTCCATATAGGATATACTTTAAGAATGAAAGATGAGATTATCTTAAATATTTTCTAGTTCAGCTTTTCAAAGTCAATGATGTTTCAGGGACATTTCCTCTCCTCACTCAACACACAATCCCTAGCTTTGAATGTGGTGTCTCGCAGGTTGGTGGAATTTATTTCATCTTTTATGCTTGCTTCTCGCTCTTTTTTCTTCAAAAATGTTATTTTAAGCATTTTGTATGCATTTCCCGATTTGGTGTAATTATCTGACTGTCTTCCTCCTTTTCTTTGAATTTTCCTTTCAGGAACATCCATGGATTAGTTGCTGGCGATGGTGAGGATGGAGCTGTGGAATGCTTTGACATGAGAACGAGATCTTCGGTTGGGAGGATAAATGCTGTTGCATCTGCCGCTGACATCGATGGGGTAACAAATTTTATATGGCTTCTTGTTACTTTGACTAGATACCATGTCCACTTCTTAGTGACTACCTGGAGCTTAGTTTTCCTTGACCTCCAAAAGCTTTGAAGTTGGCATGCTTGAAATGCAGTTGTCTGTAATTAGTATGCGTTCGTTTAACAGACATTGTTTTGCCCATTTGAATTTAATATCCGTATTACTTGGATAAATGAATATCGTCCTTTTCCAACGTAGAACTTTGTTGCCTTTGCTAGCAAGGGGTTTGGGCTGGTGCCTGGGAGGTGGAGGGTTGTAGTTGCCTGACTATTGCCAATGAATGTTTCTTAATTGGTATTAATCTTAAATAATGTGTTAAAATTGTAGGAGGTTACAGCAATTGAGTTTGGTGGTAAACATGGTTTTTTCATGGCTGATGGAAGTAGTGGTGGAAAGGTATGACAGACTGTTATATTACCATTTATTGCAGACTTGCAGTCATGTCTTTTTATCTTTCACTTTGTTTACTTTTTGATCATTCTCTTATGCCATATTGGTAACTCTAGGTGTGGATTTTAAGTTACCTGTTCTTGGGATACGGCCTCAATGATCTCTTGGGATTTTGTGACTTTGCAATCTCATTTTGTGCTTGCTGACCAAGTGAATTTTCATTTATTGAATATCTATTGACCAAGTGATTTTTCTGGCCACTCTTGGTTCTGCACCACAATCTGCATTTTTTAGAGCATCTCGTGTCATATGTGTTTGCTTGACTGGCAACTTCTCGGCCTTTAATCTGCATTCAAGTCTTTTCATCATCATATTCTTGACTTTGCATGTAAAAAAAGTGATAACCAGATAACCAGAAGCTTTGTATAAAAAAGTAATAAGATTCGGATAGGGCATATGACAATCCTCTATTTGGAAAAAAAAAGTTTTGGCACAAAATAAAAACCAGCAAGAACTAGTATATGGCTGTTTTATCTGTTTCCTTTTTGATACCTCATGTTATGTGAATGTGATGGTTCTGTGCTAAAGTCTGTTGTAGTTATTTTCCTTTAACTAATGAATATCAATTATGCTCTTATTTTCTTCTAATAATTCAGGTTCTGATCTTTGATTTGCGCAAAACTAATCCTGTGCGAGTGAAGGATCATATGTGCGTTGCTTATACTAGCTTCATAGTTACTACGGTTATTTGATCATTTGAAGGTCTTTATACATTCATGGGATCTTTACTGATAAACACAGAGTCAGAGTTTGGGATCCTCAGACTGTAAGTAAGTTTTCCATCTTCTCATTTGACTGTTTAATGCTTGTTTCGTCTGTATTTTGTGCCTTGCAGATGGTCATACAGTTGTCTTCATATTTAGATGTGACTAGGGTAGATGTACTGCATAGATTTGAAGAGGAAGCAAATAGTCCTCTTGCTATGATTTTCCAACTATCATTAGGATATCAGTTCAGGAACTGTCAAATTAAGCACTTGTTTGGTCTCCATTATTTCCAAAATACATTTTTTTTTTATTTTCAACTATATATTTTTCAATAAAATAATATTACGCGCTAACTAAATTTTTTCCTACTTTTTAACCACATTCCCCATCAAATCACTATTCCAAAGTGTATTTTTTGCAGAAAAGGGGGCTCAAACAGGCTCTACATATGACCAATCATCCAATCACTATTCCAAAGTGTATTTTCATGGATAGGTTTGGGTGGGTTTTAAAAGGTTAATTTCCAATCGTCCTTTTTGAAATTTTTGTTAAAATTGTTGAAGAGTTGAGAAACAGTGAACTATGAGGTAGAAGCATTCAAAAATGGAAGATTGGGTTTTAAAAGGTGACTAAATTTGTCTAGTAAAAGAAGTTTACCTCTGAGAACAAACAGATACATAAATATGTTGGTGGATCGTGAATAAGAATTGCTTCACTCCATTTCCTCCAAAATTGGATGCATTTATCAAATTGTTTCTAAAATTTAGCTCGACATGGAAATTAAGGATTGTGAATAAGAATTGCTTCTCTCGCAGGACTTTGAGATTGATGAATTCTCACAAGTATATCTGGCTTTACACCCAAACATATCCACAAATAAACCGTCTTTGCCAATGACAACAAATTGAGGGGGAAATACGAGTTCCAAGAAACAAAATTATCTTGAGTTTTACTAAAGAGAATTTCTTTTTATGTCACGGATAATAGCATTTGAACAAAAAAATGGATCTCTGGAGTTCATATTCGCGTGTGGACTTTTAAGGGAGGAAAAGAGCCAATTAGATGCACAAATGCTAAGTTTTCTTAAATATTTCTAGCAATTAACTTATGGTCAAGTATATAATAATTAAAAAATAAGTTAGATGTTTATAATTTAATCGTCTAGTTTCGAAACCCTTTTTTGTTTCATTTTATATGGCCAAAATTCTCAATTTTTTTTTTTTTTTTTGCTTTGAATGTTGAATTACGCGAAAATTTATTTTTGAACAAATATTATTTTCAAGAACACAATTCTACAAGACAAGTTATTGAATATTATTAGTTTTTTGTGCATGAAAGTAAATAATTTCCAATATTGGTGATTTTTCAAGAAAAGTATTGATGAAATTAATATTTAAACGCCATTTCAGGATAAATGAAATGAGAAAATATATTGTTTCAACTAATATCTCTCTAAATGACAAAATCCCACCATAGAATATTTATCCTGAGGCTTATTTTTAGGATGAAAATGACACGATAACCAAACGAAAAGATTTAGAGAGAGAGAGAGACGTGAAGAATATTGAAAGTGAAAAAGGATATATGAAAGGAAGAAAGAAAAATTAGTTTTTCCTTTAAACTGAGTTATCAAATTAAAGTTGGCAATGTTTACCTCTTAACCCATATTTGTTTCCCATTATTTCAAAACTCTTCGTTTTTACGTACTTATTTTCAATTACACAATAAAATATTCTTCAGAATTCACTATTTAAAACAATTTTTCAAAATGACAAAATAAATCCGTTCAAACATATCAGATTCAACATCTTTTAATCCAAGTGGTTCAATCGCTTCCTTATTCCTTTTGTTTTAAATTTCTTTCTTTCTACTACTTTTTACATAATTAATTTGTAAACTAAGTCCCCGTTTGATGTAGATTAAAATAAAAATTGATAATTGTGTAGTTGAAAAATTGTGAATTCAATCAAATGCGTCATTAAAATTAATTCTTAACTTTGAGTTGAAACTTTAATATGATTTTATTCCACATCAATCAAGGACTAAATAATATGGCACTTTTCAAAAGTCGTACCTTTCATATCTTATAACTGAAAATGGACCTCACGAAGCTAATGAAAAAGTTTTAAACTCTTAGCGTAACAAAATTAAATTTATAATTAGACTAAGGCTATGTTTGACAGTCCATTTTTCCCATGGAAAACGGAAATATGGAAATGGTTGTTTGATAAGTTTTGTTTGTCACGGAAAATTAATTCCACCCACCCCCCGCACATGCACCAATTGCTCAATTTAGGTGGGAAAATGTTTTTCAGGTTAATTTTTTTTTTTTTTGACAATGAACACAAATTTTATCACCAATTGTAAAAAAATTCTCTTTAATAGATAATTTCCATAAAAAACAAAGTCAAACGAATACCAAAAGATCCAAAATTTAAATATTTTCCACGTGAAAAATTATATCAATCAAACACAATTAATTGACAATTACCAGGAAAACAATTTTAGATAATTCAATTCCCCGAAATTTATTTTATTTCCACTCAAATTTCACTCTTACAATCAAATGGATCCTAACTTTCATGTCAACAGGAGCATTGAAATTGTTACTACCCAATTTATAAGAATGCAGTTAATCAAATTCTTTGAAAAGAAATGTAGCTATAAAATGGAGAGAAAAACAGATATTAAAAGCAAATTCCAATGGGAAAAACTACCAAGTTTCCTAACTCCCAAATATTAGAAAAGAATTGATAAAAAAAAAAAAAGAAAAAGAAAATTCCTAGGATACTATGAATCCACCCCAAAATTTGATCCTGCTTTGTCAGCTTACGTCTCCTCTCCCCGTTGTAAACACATAATACCACGGGCGCATAGACACATACAGAGACAATTTGTATCAGTTTCATTTTCTGTTGAAATGCATGAAGGTGACAATCAAGAGATTTGAAGAAACTATGGCGTTTGAGCTGATAAAAAATGAAGAAAAAGGGCCATTCAAGAATCTGATGTTGAGGAACTCTTGTTTTGGGTGGATTATAATAATGCTACTGTTCACAGTAACACTCCTGGTGTTACCAATGTTTCTGCCACCACTTCCGCCGCCCCCTGCCATTTTTCTCTTCGTCCCAGTCTTGATCATGGCAGCGTTAATATTCTTGGCCTTTTCACAGTCACATCCGCCGTCACCGCCGCCGCCGCCACCGCCACCGCCACCGCCACCGCTACTTTCGTCTGAATATGTATCTGTTCATTATAATGCAATGCTGTAAAAAAAAAAAAAACTGGAGGAATTAATGCCAATTGCAATCAGTCATGTATTTATCAATTAATTTCTTTTCTCAAAAGTATTGTATTCATTTCTTAATTTATTGTCAGTTATATAGAATTGAAACAAAAATCTCTCTTTCTAATTGCGAAATAAATGATCATAATGGAAGTTAATATTAATTTATCAAACATATGAAATATTTCTTGTTGAAATTAATTTCTTTGAAGTTAGGTTTAAGAATTGAGAGTTTGTCTTTTTTTTACCAAGCTCCTAATACAGATATATACAGATAATCTGTATTTGGACCGCCAGCCACCGATATGCGGTGGTTTTCCGGCTGTTGTGAGAGGGAAAGCCGGCCGGCCACCAGAAGTCTTAGGTTTTGTCGGTGGTGCTCTTAAAATGCACCATAGATTTGCCTGACTAGCAGTTAGATTCCACTGTACGGTTGCATGGTGCTTGGGTTTCACAAAATGGTGCAAGTGTACGACAGAATTGACACAATTATTACTTATAATTCATAATCAATTATTTTTATATTAAATAATTGTAGATAAATTCGTATATGGGTAGGTGCTTAAGCATTAATTACACTAACTCGTTGCACATGTAATTCAGGAATAATAGGATATTTCAAATATTTGATTCTATAACTTTAAAAGGATTTTTCTACTTTACCAGGCCTGGTAAAGTCCTCCCCTCACAATGAGGTGGGTCCGATGCGGACCCACCTCAATAAAAAAACCTCCCAAAAATGTACCCACCCCGCCCAATGTGAGAGAGCCGGGTACCGGCCTGTGAACCAAAGCCTGGTACCCAAGCTCGGCTCACTTTAAAATTAATAACCTTGCCAGATATTTTTATAATGACACTTGACCATTTGTCAATTTAAAATGCAATCAATTTTTTCATTCATTCTTTTCCTCCCACGTCATTTTATGTAATCACTCATGTACCATTTTTATGTACAAGTAGTATAAATCCATAATTTGTTGTTGCACCTAAATAAAAGAACCCCTGTCATAGTTTTCTAACAATTACTCAATGAATAATGCTATTTAACACCAATAGAATTAGAGCACAGTGTATGTTGTATATATGTGTTATTAATTGATAAGCCTAATTAAATATATCGTTACGAGATTAAGCCCTTATTTGTTACCCATTATTTTCAATATATGTTTTTTTCTCTTATTTTTAACCACACGCATTTTTCGATAAATTAATATTACATGCAAATTTAAAAACTTTTTCTTATTTTTAATTATACATCTCCCAATAAAATAGTATTCCAAAATGAATTTTGGACAAAAAAAGGGCTCAAACATGCTCTAATTTAATTGGATCTATCATATGCTGCCACCTAAACTATAGCACCAGTGGTGATGAATAATATTATTCAAAATCTTATTTTTATCCTCACCAAACAAGGGCTAAATGAGAAAAACATATATTTATTTTTCTCTCATTGGATAATGTGGAGATCTTAATTAGAATCTTCTATTGCGTGTTTATGATACTCGTGCATTTTATCTCAAAAAAAAAAAAGAAAAAAAAAAGAGAAAATTCGTTCTAAAGGTTAAGAAATACTATAGTAAGCACCATAGTTTAGTTTATGTTAAGCAGTACCAATGTTTCATTTATGTTTGGGATAATTGCAATAGCGATACCAAATCATTCATTAAGTAGTATATTTTGTTCAAACATTTTATTTGTGCCACCCACGGTACCAAACAATTTTTTTGTGCCACCAACGGTACCAAATCTTTTAAAATGTCGCAACTAAAATCCAAATGGAGGTTTATATTAGTTTGACCGTTAATTGTCCAAATAATTGACATGACAATATTTTTGACTAATTTTAAAAGGTTAAAATGATAATTTTACATTTTTTTAATAATAAAATAACTAAAATTATACGATGGAATGCATATTGAAGTAAGTCATAGAAAAGAAACGCACTAGGTTCGCGAATTCCTATGCAAAGATCCATTTTAACTCTAGTTCTACAAAATTGACAACACGCTTGAATTGATGAAGAATTAATATTTCTAACATATTCAATAATCTCTCTCGAGTAGAATTGAACATATTCTCGCATACCATTTGACTATATTTCTATGACAAATGCAATATACAAGAATGCATGATGTTTTGTAAACACTTAGAGATTCACATAGAGCATAGCGGTATATTTCTATCCCCTATCGGACCCTATGATGATTTATACCTTGTCGAGTCTATTCCCCTTCTTTCGAATACTAGAAATAGGCCACCACACACATACAATTATTGCGCATATAATTGTAGAGAAAAATCGATGTATATAAATCATTCAATAATTCAAAACGCGTTTTAATGTCAACAAAGTAAAATTAGGAATTAAAATATCACATCACAAGGTTCATCATTCACCTAGCACATATAAGTCCAGCCTAGCATGGAGGAAAGAAGAAAATCAGAAAAATAGATAAAGAACGACATCACCCCGAATAATCTTGAATTGAATCTTTGCGTCGTGATGTTATTCTTCTTGTTTGTGCCTCTTTTTTTTCTCTGAAAACCTTCAAAAATCTCCTCCCAGGTCTGCCTAGGGTTTGAGGACGGCTTAAGAGTTTATATAGTTGCCAAAAGATTGGTTTCCATAAGAGTTGGAACGAAATAAGGAAACCAGAATTTTCGCCCCCAGATTGAACTATGCGACTGCATGGTATAAACCCATGCGACAGCATGGTTATACAAAATTTTCACAGTTCATCTCCTGTAAATTATTGTGCGACTGCATGGTAGAAATTATTTTCCTTTTGATTCACTTTGGCCCCCAAGTTTGTTTCATCCACCTTTTAGCATTGCTTCCTCCTCCTTCTTCTTCTAACATCCCATGATGTCACAATGTGTTACTTAACTCAATTCCTGCTTGATTCGCCATTCGGGTCATTTTTTGAATAATTACATTTTGATCCTCGAAGTTTCATATTCTTTCATTTTGGTCCTTTTTCGTTCATTTTCTCATACTCTTCATTCCATCTATCAATGTAATCCTACAAACGCAATTATATCGAATTAAGCCATATTTCAATATATATATCAACAATTTTTCATGTTTTGTGACCTAAATAAGTACACTTATCAGTTGTCAATTGGACAGTCCATGTTTTCAAGAGGAGCCCAACGGTTGCAGTAACGAACAAAACTCCAAAAGAAGCTTGGAGTAGATTCATACCATCAGTGGATCATTTCAGGATCTTTGGGTGTGTATCTCATGTTCATATTCCTAATTGCAGAAGGACAAAGCTCGATGACTAGAGTGTAAGATGTGTTTTACTTGGAGTTAGTAAGGAGTTAAGGTTTATAGGTTATATGATCCTATTTTGCAAAAGATTGTAGTAAGTAGAGATGTGGTGTTTGAAGAAGATACAAGCTCAGATTGGGACAAAAGTTAGAAGAAAGTTTTTTTTGGCTGACTTGAATTGGGTGCAAATGACAAAGAACCAAATGCGGCTACAAGAAATGGAATTAAAGTTGATGAATATAGCAATACTTAGGAAAGTGAGAGTGATGACTCAAATGGCTCTAATGAAGAAAATTTGAATACCAAAGGCGAAGATTTTTCACTTGGTCAACCTTATTAAGAGGAGTAGTCCAAAATCTTTATAAAATGGTCTGTGTCACCTTCATTTATCGATGTGGAATATATATCCCTTACCANCGATGTGAGATATATATCCCTTAACACGCCCCCAAAAGATGGTAGCTCGTTTGAGTAGACCAATCTTGAAATCTACATGCTCATTTTTAGAGCCTTAACGAGATCGAATCGCTCGTTGGAGCATAAAGGGATCTGATACCATGCTAAGATTTAGGGTTCTATCTTAAAATGTTAACCTTATTAAGAGGAGTAGTCCAAGATCTTTATTAATTGGTCTGTATCAACATCATTTATCGATGTGGGATATATATCCCTTAACAGTATGCACACGAGGTGCTGGAAAGGTTTGATATGGATAAACGCAATTCAGTTCACAATCTAATTATTACAGGTTGCAAACTGATGATGGATGAGAATGGAGAAAGGGTGGATAGTAGTCACTACAAGCAAGTAGTCGGCATTCTAATGTATCTGACTGTTACTCGACCTAATATTATGTTTGTGGTGAGTCATTTGAGTAGGTATATGGATCGTCCCATAGAGCTTCACCTTCAGGCAGCCAAGAGAGTGTTGAGATATGTGAAACAGACTTCTCATTTTGAAATAGTTTATAGAAGGGGAGGAGATGAAAAGTTGGTTGCTTAAATGGACAGTGACTACACTGGAGATTTAGATGACAAGAGTGCTTCATATTATGTTTTTCTGTTAAGTTCAGGTGCAATTTCTTGGTCATCGAAGAAACAACAAATAGTTACCTTGTCTACCAAAGAAATTGAGTTTGTTGTAGCAGCTTATGTGCTTGTCAAGCAATTCGGTAAGAAGGATTTTGAAGTGTTTTAATCATGTTCAAAGTGGAGGTACAACCATCTTTTATGACAACAATTCAATTATTGAGCTTTCGAAGAATCCTATATTACGTGGTTGAAACAAGCATACAGATGTTAGGTTTCATTTTCTTTGTGCACTCACTAAAGATAGAGTTGTAAAGCCGGTCCATTGTTATACTCAAGAACAGGTTGCAAACATAATGACTGAGCCATCGAAGCTTGATATGTTCGTAAACTTAGAGGCCTGTTGGTCTGTACAAATCCAATTTAAGGGAGGATGTCGAAATTGTTAGTTGTTAGTGTGTGATTGAGCCTTTATGATTTGTTTCAATTTATTGCTATTCTTTAGAAATAAGTTTTTTTGTTGCCTAGTCATTTACCATGTTAATCGATATGTAAAACATGGGCTGCATTTCTATCCTACTTTATTCTTGTAAGGCTATATATAGCCAGCTCAACTGTTGATTAAATAAAAAAACATTCTCATAATTTTGTTTGCAAAGAATTCTTGATAATCTAAAATATAAGATCTATTAATTAATAATCTATGTTATATTTTATGGTCCCAACTTGGATTAGCTGCATAAATGAATCTCCAAAATTAATAATAAATTTTCCATCCCAACCTTATTAATTTATAGAAGTTATCCTATTGTAGTAAAACTTGATCAGGTGATGGCAGGGCTAACCCTGACTATTGGCGACGTAAGTGATCGCCTAGAACTCCACTTTGATGAGGGCCCCAAATTATGTACTGTTAATTGACTGATTGAAGAAAAACGAAAATTATAAATACGAAACTCATTAAATTAGAATTATCATATGCCATCACAAGAAAACAATAAAATTTGAAAATACAAACATCTCAAAAAAATTATATAAATGTCATAAAAACTTATCACATACATTTATTTATCATGTAAATATATCACATCCATTACTTTCTCTATTTATAATTAATTTAACCATTTATTTTCTCAACCATCATTTTTCTTTTTCTTAACAAGAAACAAAATATCATTTTTCTCTTTTAAAAATTTACGGTCATTACTTTTTCTGATGCTCTGATGATGAGTCTTGCACTTGTTCATGGAGCACCAGTTAAAGGCATTAATATTCATCTATCTCTAGGTTCTTGCATTTCATTTTATTTTGTCTTTTTTTTTTCAATGTCATTGTATTGATTAGTTTTGTAATTAAACGAATGCTTCTCTATATGTTATGTAATCTGGTTTGGGATTCTCCTAATCCATTTATTATTATTATTTCCTTCTTTTATGTTTGTACTGTAGTTTAAATTTGTATTTTCTCTTCCAATCTGTCTGATTATGTTTAATTGTTTTTTAATTGTATTTAATAGTTTTCAGTTAACAATTAATTTTAATCATATATTTCATAGGGCTTACAACTTTTCAATTACACATCCCATCAACTTTTATCAAAATTTGCTCAAATTTTGATTTTAATTTCTATCAAGTAAAGACATTATTCACAATGGACATAGTATCAATGCATAATGTCCCCAAAATATGAAAGCCGGTCATGGGTGGTTGATGGATGATATTGACATTTGATATTTATCAGGGAATGGTATAATACAAAGAAAATTTCATTGTGTACCTATTGTCCAGATGTACGGAAAAAATCATCATCCCATATTTTGACTAAACAACAAAAAGGCACAGTAGAAATGGCAAGATTCATTGTTCGACTGTGCTTAGTGCTTTTATATTATGGACAGAGACGTGTATGTATGGTGCTTGTATATTCACATGATCAACTGTGCTTAGTTTAACACACTAAAAATATGCCAAAATTAAGGGAAAATATGGAACAAAATCCATAGAAAGGAAACATGTAAAAGAATTTGTAAAAATCCTTAAAAGAGTTCCACCGACACGACTCTTAAGAAAAAATGGAAAAAGAGAAATATTTTAAAAAAGACGAGAAATAAAACTTTCACGAACTTTTTCGAGGTCAAAATATACTCTTTGGTTGTACAATTATCCACCACTTTACCGAAATTTTAAAGACGTATTTGGTTCATATTATCCACCACTTTACCGAATATATCGTAAATATTTAGTGCTCGTGATATGCTTTATACATTATGATGTATCAAATCATATTACGGGTAAAAAATCGTAAAAGATGAAAGATCAATAAATAAAAACTTGAGTCACTTTTATTAACTGTATCGACTTTTGAAGATAAACTCAGACTTAATATGGTATATATTATGTTATTTTAATATTTCAAATAAATCCAGAAATTTGAAATAATCTAATATCCTTTAACAAAATATTTAATGTACTGAAATATAATTGAGTCGAAATTTCTTTAAAAAAAAGGGTGTCCACTCTCTTTTTTAACACTATTTATATTTAAATCATTACGTAACTTCGCTGTGTACCAATAAAATTATTCAAACGCAAAAATGTAAGTGAGTGCAGGAAAAGAGTCAATTAGATGAATGATTAACTGAAACGAATTTTCAAATGCAAAGGTTTCTTAGTTATTTCTAGCAATTTTGGTTACCAAAAATTGGGAATTATTTAATTAAGCATATAATCTAGTTTGGAAGCCGTTTTATGTTTTACTTGTAAGACCAAAATTCACGAAGTTATTGTTTGAATATTTTAATTTGGGAGAAATCTCTTAATTACAGCAAAATTTACTTTTAGATAAATAAAAAAATTGTCGTTATTCAAGAATAGACAATTCTACAAGGCAATTTATCGAATGTTAATTTTTTGTGCATGAACTTAATTAAATATTTTCAAATATTAATTATTATCGAAATTAATATCGAAACACAATTTCGAGAAATGAGACAAATGAGAAGAGGAAATATCTCTTGACGTAATCTCTCTCCAAATCCCACTATAAAATATTTATCTTCATTGAGGCTTGTTTAGGCTAGAAATGATACACGAGCTTGCATGAAAAGTGTTTATAAACGATTTTATTTATAAATAAATTAAAATGAGTGATGAATAAGTGAGTAATATTTGTACATATCACAAAATGTGTGAATAAAAATTAATTTGACGCACTTTTGACCATTTATAAATGGTCTATAAACTCTTGAACATACCCACAAAGAAGTCACTATAACAAAAACAATTTACGACAACGTTTAAAAAATGTTATCGTAGGCCTACGCAACGTTTGGACATGTGTTGAAAATCGAGATTTTGTCTTAGAGTAGAGAGATACGGCAACGTTTGACAAATGTTGCGAAAAACAGTATTTCGCAATGTTTGACAAACGTTGCCGTATGGTGATTTTTTTTTTAATAAATGCAAATAGATTGACAAAATTGAAAATCTTGAATATTAGAATGTGATACAATACCACTTAAATAAAAAGGAGTTTCAAAATGAAATAAAATGGTAAGGGAAAAACTCAATCATAAACGGAACACATAAACTACTCTCTTTCTTATTTGGACATAAATGATAGGCACTGCATTTCAGAATTTGTTTCACTTTCCAAAACTTCATATGCCTATTTCTTTAAGTCATCAACCTATTCCAATCAATCTGTAATAGCGAGTTTAATAGTTTCCCCGTTTCTTTTTGCTTCAACAACCAAAATTTCATTGCAAATCCCGCGAGCTTCCGAACAACGGAAGAGACAATGTTTCCTGCCATTCTCAATTTTCCAGCTCAAACAATAGATATTTCAGCAGTATCAAAGAAGCCTATCAGCATAAAAAAAACACGTCGAAGGGTCTGAGAATTACATTCCACTTAGTAAACTTTAACAAATCAATAGCAAAAGGAAAAATAATTATTCCCCAGTAAATGTTTGAGTTTTTCTCTCGTATTTGCTTTCATTAGCATGTGGTGTTTTTCCATCAAATGGTATCAAAGTTGATAGTCCAACCATTTCTTGGGAAACTCAACCATTTCTATTGGTCTCTTCTGCAATTGTACGTTACTACCATTGAATTCTTTGCCAAATCAAGAGGACGGAAGCATTCTAGCATTTCAACAAGAAGACAATTGGGATGAATTATCAAACATATTATTTAGAGAAAATAAGTTTAAAGATAACCACATAAACTACGGTCACTGAAGGCATGGTCTTAAATATTATTCTTTACACTAGGTAGCATTCCCGATTATGTACAACCAATAACTAAGCTTTATTCCTACCCATAAAAAAAAAAAAAGCTTTATTCTCAATAAATTCAGGTCAGTTAGTATTGTTGATTATTCGACACTGCATGTCAATTACTTATATCTAAAAGATGCATCGGAAATAAACTTCACCTTTATCAAATTCCTCAGTGTTATATTGAGATAATGTGAAGGCCTCAAAGGCTTAAAAATCGAAACCTGAAATGCTTAAAAATCGAAACCTGAAATACAACTTGCATTCATCAACAAATGCAAAATGGAAGGTAAGACTTAAATAAAAAGTTCTTTGCTCCACAGAATACTTTGATTTGTAGAATGATCTAAAAATCTACAGAAGGCATAAATTAAAATAAAAAAAAACCTTTTGAAGTATTAAAGCTGCACCAATTGTCAAGTCCTTTCCATACTCACTCTCAGTGAGGACCTTGTGATGAATACTGGCACCAATTGTACCTGTAGGATCCTAAATTCAAAGATAATGAAATTAGCATATAAACCCCCTTGACACTGTTTTCATCCATTTTGTCCAATTTATACCTTCAAGGTCACTATCAGACCCCCAAGACCATTAGGCGTGCATGACTTGATGACAGCCACAACCTAATCACACACAAAAAGAAGATACAAGATGTAAGGAGAAACTAAAGGTTCGTATGCTTACATACCCAATTATCTTATATGGGTTCTGCATAACTAGTCCAACCATTTCTTGGGAAACTCAACCATTTCTATTGGTCTCTTCTGCAATTGTACGTTACTACCATTGAATTCTTACCAAATCAAGAGGACGAGAGCATTCTAGCATCTCAACAACAAGACAATTGGGATGAATTATCAAACATATTAATTAGAGAAAATAAGTTGGTCACTGGTGTCTAATTCAATGAAATAGGCTGACACCAAAATCCCAAAATCTCTAAATCAAATCTCATCAAAATCCCTAAAAACCCTAATTATCAATCCCTAACTATCAATCCCTAAACGCAGTTCAAAACATTAGATTAACACTTAACAGTCAATATTATAACCCCATAAATTTCATTTTGAGAGGAAAAACAGTGGAAAAAATGCACTTAGAAAATGAAATTGGACAAATCACAAACTGCACAGCCTGTAGTCAATACAATAAATTACCTACTTACCTCAGAACAGCACTGCAGTGGAGCTTGGAAGTTGTACTTGGAAACTGGAACACTCAACAAACGTTGCGAAAATGGGTCTATTGCAACATTTTTCTAAAAAACGTTGCTAAAACTCATTTATACTAATCAATGACAACATTCACTTACTAAAATGTTGTCAAAAGACCCTTTTAACAATATTTATCAGTAAATGCTGCTTTTTTAAAGTTGCGAATCACTCTTTTTGTTGTAGTGTGTAGAGAATGCAAATGAATAATGGAAATATGGAAGAAAGAAACAAAAATAAAATAAGGTTGTATCTTTTAAACTCGAGTTATCGAATTAAAAGCTCAATTGATTGAAGAGAGAGAACATTTATTACAATTGGAAATGTTTTTTAAATGGGGGTAATGTGATGAAAGGATTTTGTTTTCATTAAGGGTTTGCTCTAGCACTTTTTGTCTTGCTCATCCTCTTTATTTCAAGAAAATTCTTTCATCTTCTTCGACTAGTTTTACTTGTATCTATAAAGAAATGTTAAGATAATTCCTATCCAAGCTTACAATGCTCCTGTTTGGTAGGGATTAATATCAAATGTCTAGTGGATTTTGATAAAGTTGATGAAATATACGATTGAAAAATTGTGAGACCCGTGAAATATGTGGTTATGATTAATTGTTGATTTTGATTTAGATTAAAATCTAGATTTTAATTTCTACCAAACTGGAATAATGTTACCAATTCCTTTCTATTATTAGTTTGTTAACATTAGGGGTAACGCGCTGTTGATCTCGTACAAACATAGAAGAAAAGTCAAGAACTCATGAATTTTTGCCCTGAAGGGCCCAAGTTCATCCAACCTTCAGTTATGTCCCGTTGAAGCTCCATTCAAGGTGGATATGGCTTCGATGCACTTAGGATCAGCCAATAGTGGTTCCAAATGTCTTACAAATCCAAAAGGTATGATCAAAACCTAGAACCTAAAGACCAGAATGAATCAGCCACCACACTACCTTGACACACTTTTATCTCGCTTAACTATAAGATCCACTAAGGACTTGCACGACTTTACACAAAGAAACCAGCACACGGAAATTAGGGCACATAATGAGGGAAGGAAGGGTCCTTAAGCTTAAAAGTGATCGTGTAAATATCTGGTTGAAGCATAAAAAGTAATAAACATGTCAAATCAAATAACATAATATCACCCATACTGACAATGTATATTACACTATTTTAAAAACTAATCCTACTCAAGATCTCTATAACCATTGGCTTTGATACTATTTGTTGGTTTTTAGATTTAATCACGAGAGGAAATTGATTTTCATTTGAAGATTAAATCCAAATATAATATAGATTTTAGATCTCATTTGAGATTATTGGATTTTGTTTTTAAATCTTCACACGTAATGGTGAGATCATAATCTTAGAAGAGTTTTTAATGGCCTTCCAACTTTTCCTTGAATTTTATTGTAGTAGGTTAATAAAATCTCACATCTATATAAGAGTCAACAAAGGAACCTAACAAGACTTACAAAACCCGAGCTCCAATATGTTTCTAATTGGGTAAACTCTTTGTCGATTAACACATCTATTAATCCCGATTCATTCTACAAAAGAATCGAAATCGCACTCTCGAGTTGAAAGATAATTATGAAAGTAAATCACGATCCGATAACTATATCCTCCAATCATCATCCCACAAGTTAACCCACGTTTGATTGTCAATATGTTGGAACCGAAAAATGACCCTTTTGCCTTTCCAAGATGTATGGCCCTCCGATTCCCATTTTTATAAGGCAAATCAGTTATGAATAGATCAAAACCTAGAGTCCATCGATCCTATCGTTGACTACCGAGATCAAGTTCAAATGCTTATAGAGAATGCATCGGAATGACAATCATCTCATCATAATGATTAATGGATTTCTATATGAAGTATACGATCTCTAATTATTTCGTTCCGATTCTCTAGGTACCAAGATCGAAGTTCCAATTTAGACTTCGCTCATAGTATCTCAAAAAACTTGAAGTAGAAATCAAATGTACTTACTCGCTCATGATTTATGGCATATAAACTTTTTCTATGTCTAAAAAAACATATAAATGGCACCTAACTAACAAATATAACAAAATAACAAAGTTTCTCTGCAAACTTAAATACACATTGTCTTCAGTGTGAGCATAAATCAAGCCTAAAGAAATTTAACAATAATCTTGTTATTATATGGTGATGCTTCTCCGTTAATAATTGATATCTTATCTTCCTTTACTCCTTGCCCGTTCTGTGGAATATTTTCATTACACCTAAAAGAGAAAGGAAAATTGATTATCAGTTCAATCACATGAGATTGTTTGTATGTGAGTGTAGCATGAGAGTAATTTTTTCTTGAAGTTTTGAATGTAAATGAATGGGAGGGCGTCATGCGATTGCATCATTTTTGAGGCTTGCGATTTCATGGTTCATCCATTGGCTACTCTATCAAAGGTTTACATGGACTTGTGATCGCAAGCTCAAGTAGCTATGCGAATGCATAGTTCAATCTTAAGTTTTCTAAAAAAAAAAAAAATCGATATAATTGTTGCGCGGGGAATATGATCCCAAGTATAAAATGCTGAAAGCATAAGCTAAAATTTAATTAAACGTGCTTAAGTACTAAAGGAATCCTAGCCTTTTACCTGCGACGCGATAAATTATTAAACAAACTTGCTACATGTACAGCATTTTTGTACAGCATACTTTACAGTCCTCTCACATGGAGGGTGGAGCCCGCGATCGTGGGACCCACATTATGTGAGAGAGTTGTACATTGTACAACATTTAAAAGCTGTACAAACAGTTTTATTGATTATTACAGGCAAGTAAATGATAAAAAATGGTTAGTCTCTCACTAAGAGCTCAATTATAATCTTGGACTTGATTTTGAGCATTGATTGCTCAAGGTGGCTCAAACTGGGTTTTCATTTGCATTTACCTGCTTTTTTGACTTTCCAAATTTCAAACCACCTTTTTCATCTTTGAGAACTCCATTTTGTCCACCAATTTCCATTTGTATAGACAACTTTCTTGATCACCCATATGTCTTCATGAATTCTATAGAAATCCTCGAGGTCGAGTGGTTACTTGGATGTGGTGTAAATGTTGAATTTTTCTTGTTCATCATCCACTCTTTAGATCAGATAACATTTTCAATGTTAACTTATCACTAGAAATGGTTATCCTAAATTAACTGGCATATTTTGTCTTCCTCTACATCCAATATAATAAAATTCACTAGGAATATGAATTTACCTACTTTGATGAGCATGTTCTCAATCACATCTCGTGGCTGTTTGATGGATCTATCAACAAGATGCAAAACCACAGTTGTTAATTTTTTTTTTTTTCACTCAAATCAAATCAAATGTAGATAGAAAAATGCATCAAATTAACACTTGCACCTTAATCACATAAATCATTAAAAGCAAAACTTTCCAATATTATTATTATTATTATTTTGGAGGCAATTTTTGAAGAAAACGGTACTGCACCTCTTTTAATGCCACTATCTCGTATTCTAGAAGCCTTCTTATCTTGGATAGCATCCTCTTTAAGAACTTGGCGTAGCTCAGGATTTGTATTATAGCATCGATAAGTAGGATGTTGATACTTAGCTTTTTGAATACCTCTAGGAACTTCACAAATTGCTTATCTAGTTTATGTTTCTGCAGTCTTTGAGGAAAATGGATATAAGGCACATAAGTTGTAATAGGGCTTGATGTCTTAGCTTTGGGCAACTGTACACTATCCTTCTGATCAACATTCTCAGTTGGTTCGAATTCTTCTTCAAAAGATTCCGTCTTTTGCCAACCGTTCATCTTTCTTTGGCTTTTTCACATTGACTTTCAACAGTTATACTCCACTCCTAGTAGTAATGGCATGAGTCATCTCCCCTTCTATCCATCTTTTAAGCACTGAAGAAAAGGAATATAGCAAACAAATGTTCTAACTACAACAGCCGCCTTTGGTGGTAGGTTAGCAAATGCATCATTATTGATAAATTTGATGGCTAACACCTACTCCTGTGGATTATTTACTGTGTTGTTTGGAAGATTTCCTTGTGGTCTTTCAAAAATAACTCTAGCTAATTGGCTTATTTGATTCACAATATTTTTTATATCTGTTGAGTGATTCTGAAAGCTTATGTTAGGTTTTCCCACGAGATGATCTATTTCTACATGTATTGCTCTTTTTTGTTTATGAGCTAAGATGTAGTGTGTTCTAGTGTGGATTTCTTTTCCTGACTCTGGAAACAGGTAAATTATTTGGAAGTATGCATTAATCCAAGAGAAATTTGGATGGTTCCTCCAACCAGAATTGTAAGTCTTGGACAATTGGTTGTTTTTTTACCTCTGAAATTTTTGCATACAATTTGCTTAATGTGTTAGTTTTACAAATGGGCTTCCCATTTGCAGTTCACACTTTTCCCTATAGTAATCACTATTCGATCTTGACAAATGATTTCATTTGTTGAAGGGTTAATAGAGATACCCTCAACTTGCTTAGTCAATAATGCCAGCTGAGTGAAAATTGCGGTTAATACATCGACCCCATGAAGTCATGTAACTCTTTTTCCCAAACGATGTGAAGGTTGCAGTGCACTAGTGGCTACCAAACCCTTCAATATTTTTACGCTTCATG